CAATGACCAAAATTACTAACTAAATTTTATAACCAATATTGAAATTAGAAGCAACATCTTTAAAAACTTTGGAAGTGTCTACATAGGAATTTTGAAGCAAAAGTTTGCGAACTCAAAATACTTGTTTTTCAATTGGGCTCAATAGTAGGTTGTGCATAATTATCAAACCCGATATGATAGTTCAATCGGTCTACCTAATTAACCAAACTGAGCTGGTCTGAATTAGTAATTATATTGGTCAACAAAGGAACTAGTTGATTACTCATTCACACCCCTTGGTTTAACCGATAAGATCTAGAAAGTGATCGGTTCAACCATCTATACACTGATCGTATTACTTTAAACAAAAAAATATATACATCATTTTATTTTTAAATTAAATGAGAAACAAATCAACCGTTGCACCCATGATTCAATTGCTGAATCATTGAACAGATTGCCTCATTGGGTTCGTCTCCGGCCGGGTTTAATTACTATGTGATTGAAACCAGGAAATCGTTTGCAGAAGATGGATTTTTGGAATTTGATAAAACTAGCAGAAATATACCGTGCTTGCGCACGGTGAAGAATTTATGCAATGCCCACAATGAAATTTGGTAACTAGCGGATTGCAATTATAAACTAACGATATGGAAAACATTTGCAGGCAAAATAATTTGGTGTAATTAACAGAATTAAAGAACCTTTATTACAATTAATATATTTACACATGTAATTGTGTAAATTTTTGGCGTGGCATGTAATTGTGAGCACCTATTGGAACAGCTTGTTAATTTTTTTATTAACGCATTTTTTTGTTTGATAGCTTTCTTGGTTTATGCTACAATATATTTGAATTGTATCATAGGCATATTAAGCATACCATTCTTAATAAAAGGCATAAGTTTAAAGATAAGATGTTATTTTGATTTTTTCAAGAAGCCTCGTAAAATTGCATATTATATGAGAATAATGAAGCCTTCAGAGTTGAAGTTGTAGATTTATTCAAAGCTTTTTACAAAAAATCAAGCACGGTCCTGAATGGTTGAAAATAATTCTGCAGCATGTTGTCGATAAATTGCTAAGTTAAATTGACATGGAAAAAGAATGGACAACAAAAGCTGGCATTCATATGTTTATTGAACATATAAGAAGAATAACGTTCCTTGCAGAATAAATTTAAAAGAAAGGTCTAAGATCTATCGGTTGGTGTATCAGAGAAGATGTAGAACTTATTGTACCAAGGGAATAGTTTTTCAACTCCATGTTTATTGAAGATTAAGACAGTATAGCAGGACCTTGATTCAGGGATAAATACTAAAGCGTCGCCAAATTGTAGTTGATGCTCAAATTTAAATGTGTTCCAATTATTTGTAATCTGTCTCTGACGCATTCCAAGAGTGACTGTCTTGTTTCTAGTTCTCAGGGTGATCAGAGGAGTTTTGTCACCATGCATGAAGAAGGATACAAACTTGGGTACTTTCTATTGTTCATCGAAAAAAAAATTATTAGTCGGAAAGAAAGTAATGAATGATAAAATAAAACAAGACACAGCCAGAGCTCACAAAATTATGCTGGTTTTGCTGAGTGAAGATCTCATAGAATGATAGCCCATCAGAGATGTCTTGAATGAAATTCGGCTTCATTGCTGATGCTACTTTCTGGCACAGCATTCTTTGTTCTGTATGAAATACAGAACAAAGTTAAAGTATACGAAGGTGAGAAATAAAACAAGATAAATGCTAATTTTTTGAAGTGTTTAAGCATGAGAAAACAAACTTTTTAGGATAATATGCTCTAGACTATCTAACAGATTAGGTAGCGGATGAGTCCAAGGTAAGTAGTCATGTGTTTTTGTTGCTGAATAATGGAGCATGTCGAATAGCAAGTTTCCAGAATGTCGAAGGAGCATTCTGTCATCTTCACTGATGATATTATTGTCACAGAATTCTTTCCATCCTTCCCAAACCAATTTTCTAAAATGCTAATGGTCCATGTTCTATACCCTTCTCGAATAGTTATCTTATGTTGGCGGTGTTTTCTTAGAAGCAGCAGAAACTGATTAGCAAATATCTATTTATTTTGAAAAAAATTTGGTTAGCACTAAACAATTTATATTGCATGAGAAAAAATTATACCATATAGAAGTAAAAGTACCTGCTTAGAATTGTTAGCCCTAAAGAAAAAACAGCATTCCATATTGTTGGTAACATTTGGTGGAAGACTGGAGGATCCAGCATTTTCAAAGTACTCCATAGTTGTGTGTTATAACTATAATAGGCTTTTGAGGCTATAGATTTTAGTAGGCTGTCCTTGTAATATATATATACATAGAGACTCCATAATAAGAATAGATAGCATTAATTGTGTTGTAATAGTATCTGGTAAGCAGTGAATTTATTTAAAGTGGTTGAATTAATAGCTGTAGAATCAGTAATACATGCAGAAAGTGCAGTCTTGGAAAGGTTCAATGTGATTTGAAGTTTGGAGCCAGTAGTTAATTGATGGTATATTGAATGGTGAAAAGCTTTGCCGTTGGCAATCAATGTTAGTTTCAAATAGCATGAATGGTACGGGATAATGTGGAAACACTATACAGACTACGGTACTTTCAAATGAAGTTGCAAAAGGTATGCAGACTAACAGGCAATGCTTAACAGTGCATAGAAATACATATTTCAGCCGTATGAATATTTGATAGCATTTCACAGGCACATCAATAGCATGACAGTGCTCAAAATGTAGAAACTTGGTTTGTTTCACCACACAAAAAGGCACATAGCAGAGAATGCAGAGAAAAACAAAAATAGCTTGTTTGGAAAAGACGATTCCTTCAACCTTTGAGCCCTGGAAAATAATTATCATGATGGTGGACAAATGAGTACTATATATACTTCTAAGTTTAGCATATAGCATTTTGAATATAAAAAAGTTTTATTGCAATAAATACCTTAGAATCAATGAAGATAAATTTTTGTTTCTTAGTTGGTGTGCTAATTGATGAGGTAACTTGTTATTTCTCTTGGACAGTGACTTTTGCTGTCCACTTCTCCATTCCGACCTCAACATCATTGATAGGCAATATAGTGGCCATCCTATACTCATTAGCAATAATAAAAGATATAAGCAAGAAATTTCTGGGTGCAAGGCAAAAGAAAGTTATAAACATTGAAAACAAGATATAACAACATTTAAATGGTAAGATACCTTTGAAGAGAGCAAATGATCAATTACACAACTGCAATATTTCATCAAACACAATATTTCTGGTTCTGCAGTCAGTTTTAACTTCAACAAAAGTTCTTGGAAGTATGAGAACTTTAACTGCAGCAACAGTTTTTGCTCTAGAGAGTGCAACGTATAATTGGCCATGAGAAAAAACTGGTTCCTTTAGATATACACCAACATAGTCAAGAGTTTGGGCCTGAGCCTTGTTAATTGTCATTGCAAAACAAAGGCGAACTGGAAATTGTGTTCTAATGAAGGGAATCCCATTTTTTTCATTATCAAGTGTCTGCAATGGAATTCTTGGGATGAAAATCTTCTTCCCTTTATGCTGAACAAATGCTATCTCAGCACAGATAGTGTGCCGTTTTAGCTGTCGACAAATAAGTCTTGTGCCATTGCACAATCCTTCAACTGGATTTAAATTCCTGAGCAAGATCAAGGGACAGTTTTCTTTTAGCATGAGTTTGTGAGGAGGGAGACCTTTTGGATTTTGAGAATTCAAAAAATCCTCATAATCTGCCTAAAATCTCTGATCAACAATTTGGTCAGAACTTGTATAAGTAAAAAGCTGTCCAGGAAACCTCTGAATCATCATTTCATTAATGTCTTCAACAGAGGTATTTTTTAGGGTTAAAATACATCTATTGATCATTTCATAAGGATCAGTTGAATAAAGGTTGAAATTTGGAAAGATACAAGCTATCAACCTGGGTGAAAAAGTTTCTGTTAGTAAGCTGTTCAAGATATACGTAGTAATATTGAGGTGAAAAATGACGAGTGTGTGATGAATACAGCAAATATAGAGGACCTGTCAAAAATCTTTCATATTGTGGAATGGAATAACTAGATGACTTGGTAAACATATCTGGTAATCTGCATCAACAGGTTCTGCACCTTCCCCAACTCTGAGCAAGAACTGTGAAAAGGCAGAATCTAAAGTAGCCCTCATATTCTGTGTTAGTTTTATTTTGTGCATCCTAGACCATAACGAAGAATTTAGAAGGCTAGCCTGAATTAACTGGTCCTTCGTAGCTCCTTCAATAACGGGCAGAGTTTGGCAAAAATCACCTCCAAAAACCACAACCTTACCCCCAAAGGAGCATCAGTTTCCATTAGGTCTCTCAGTAATTCATCAAATGCTTCAATACCATCTCTTTTTGCCATTGACGCTTCATCCCACAAGAACAACTTGCATTGAATGATTAATCGTGCCATGCTACTTTGTTTGCTCAATTGGCAAGTTTTATTCCTAGAAAAATCCAATGGAATTTTAAATCTGGACTAGGGCTGCAAACGAGCCGAGCCGAGTAGAGCTTTGAGCTAATCGAGCCGAGTCTCGACTAAATTTTATCAAGCTCGAGCTCGAGCTCGAGCTCGACGAGCCGGCAAATTTCGAGCTCGAGCTCGACTCGAATCAAATCGAGCCGAGCTCGAAAAAAAATAAAAATAAATATTTTATTAAAAAATAAATAAATAAAATAATATTTTTTTCTTAATAAATAATAAAATATTAAGGACATATACGTAATTTTACTATGAAAATAAAAAATAAAAAATATATATATAATATACGTAATTTTATTATTAAATAAAAATAAAAAAAAATATATATATATATATATATATACCCAAGCTCGCGAGCCGGCTCGCAAGCTAACGAGCTTAATATTCTGAGCTCGAGCTGGCTCGAGCTCGACTCGAGTTCGATTAACATCGAGCTCGACTCGAGCTTGACTCGAGCGGCTCGCGAGCGGCTCGCGAGCGGCTCGATTCGTTTGCAACTCTAATCTGGACTAAGCAATTCTTCCTCCAGGAAGAATTGATGCTACAACTCCTGAAGCTGCTACAGCTATTGCAATGTACCCCTGTGATCTAAGTGTTGCAAGAAGCGAACGATATAAAAATGTTTTTCCCGTGCCCCCCAGACCATCAATGAAAAAGCTTTGTTCTTTGGAAGAAAAAACAGTCTCCAAAATCAAGTCATAAGCACGTTTTTGTTCTGCATTTAACTTTGAAACTATCAATAAATCTTCCGGTGACACCACAATACTCATTTCACTGTCCACTTCCTTTGTCATGCTTTTATGACAGTTAAGACTAACATCATCCGCAATTAACTTGTACTCACTGATATGGCTCCCCATTTGTTGGAGCGATTTGTTAATATCAAGCAAGACTTTTCGTCTTATTTCAGCAGTTGAATGATGAGCCTGTACCTGTGCTCGTTCGAAGTCTCTCGAAAGTTCCATTTCAAATTTTTCCCACAAAAGACTTGGATTTGTTGGAGCACAATGTAGAAGTAAAGTAGCAAATAAAAATCTAAGCGAAGAAGGCATTTGAAAACCAGCTGCTTCTTCAAGTGTCTCCTCAATATAAGAATTAGATTCTAAGAGGCCAAGCTGTAAGGCAGCCTCTCTAAATGAATTCATTCTACATCCATTAATTGTCAACAAGTCATCAAAAGATGTAGGAGCTCGAACATGTGAGAGAAGAAGTCTTAAATAATACTTATCACCTTTGCTTGGTTTAACAATGACTAACCTGTTTATAACCTTTTGCTTACTTCTTTCTGTCCATTTTCTTTTACCAGGTGTCCAAACAAAGTGCTCAGCAAATTCTCTATACAAACACTTGAGATTTTGAGCTTTTTTGTTGACACGGTTCATTCTAAAAAACTCAGTTAACATAGTTTTTGAGAAATCAATATTTTTTAAGAGCTGTGAAAGATCAGAATTTTGATCAAAAGAAACATATTGGTGATCAGGAAGATGCACCTGAAGAATGTAAACAGTAGGGGTCATTTCATTCAAGCGAAATGCATAAATCCGCCACAAAGCTTTGGGAGCAGAAACCGATCGACCTTGCTGAAATTCCTTGATCTCATCAACATCTTGAGGTGTTTCATCAGATATAATGTGGAAGTTGACAATATCATGACCTTTAAATATATACTTGTATAAATACTTAACTAAATTTATAGTCGAACAGATTTCGACGTTGATGTGACAGTCAATCAAAGCTAGCAAGTATGGAGTATATGGGATGATCCACCTATTATCCAAATCATAACCCCTGACTCTAATTTTTTGGCCATCATCTCGCTTGCGATAATGTGGATAGCTATCCTCACCATGAGTCGTATGGTCAGAATACCCTTTTGGATAATGATTTCTGCAGACACCGTTTCTCATGCAAGGACTTTCTTTGTTCATTTTTCCACAAGGGCCATGTATCATATGCCTTACAATAAGAGAATAAAGATGAGGATGCTTTTTACGATCAGGGAGTTCAGCACACACAATTTTATCATAGGCTGCTGGATTAAGAGGCTTAAACTGTGGTTCAATATAAACAATAGGTGAGCATGAGGAAAGCCTCTTTTTTGGAATTCAATAACATAAACATAGGCTGCTACATCTCCAAATATTTTCTTTGTAACAATCTCTGCTTTCAGCATTTCAAACTTTGCCCTAAACATTCTAGCTAAAAGATCTGGCCTGTCTTGAGGTTTTTCTTTGTACTTTAAATTTTCCTGAATTTCTGGCCACATTGGATTGCATGTCATAGTCAAAAAAATGTCAGGCTTTCCATATTTTTGTACTAAAGCCATCGCATCAAGATATCTACGCCTTATATCCCGCAGTCCTCCAACAAACGAAGCTGGCAAATATATTCGCCGACCAACCTTAGAACCTGACAGTTGGCCTAAAGAAACACTATCCATTATTCCTTGAAGAGCTTCAGTCCGAATGGTATTTTGTTTCTTTCTATGAAAATCAAGTCTAGATGTCTCTATCTTAACATAGATATCAACAACATATTGCTATAACAATCTTAGTACATGTAACAACATGGAATCATCATCATTTCTCATTTGAAACTTATAATAGTAGTATTCCCTAGCCGTAACATTAGTTTTCTGTTTCTTAGCACGATCAGCGGCTGAAATAAAAAGAAACTACGTATTAATGACACGAAGAAAAAATACGATATGCTAGAAAAATCATAAATACATTCTAAATATTTTAAGCTTATACGTGCCTGTTTGTTCTAGATTAATCAAATCAGACGGAGTACTGATAGATGCTGGATCAATACCAATATCATCTTCACAGACATGATAGGCTCTTTTCCTATTTTTAGACGTAATCCTTTGAATTCCATGGTGCCATCCAGATTCCCCACGAGGAAATAACAAAGGATACTGCAAAGAGTCATAGCAAGCATAATAATGCCTAATCATATGACTTTTATTTGAATGACTATAAATTTCAATGTGGACTGACTTATCAACTGATTCATCATCAGTTTCAGTCCATATAGCAGCAACTTGAGAAGCGGACGGAAGATTATATATACGCTGATCAAGAGCAGGATTGCAATTAAGAACAATTCTATGTTGTTCGAGAGCAGGAATATGACGCAAATCCTTAAAGAATTTAGCATAAGGATTGCCAGCTAAAATGCGCATAAGCAATTTAAGAGTACCTTCGCGTAGTCGCGTGGAAGCATCAAGTCGCCTTGCAAGTTCCTCATCTGTATCAAAAAAGTATAACTGAATACCAGATGGTTTATCACGTTGTGATAGCAAACTATCAAGAAAGTGATATACTTGGCCCTGTACTCGAAATGTATAAACACCGTGCTTATTTTCTGTCAGTTCTGGATCATATTTTGCAATAAAAGCAGTGAAAGAAACGTTGTTATTATATGTGTGAACATTCTTCCAAAAATGTTCACATTCTTCATCATCACCGATAAAGAGACGGCAAAGATTATAAGGCATCGGTGCAGCGACAAGCGAAACTTCTCCTCCTGAACAGCAGAAATTAGGAGGTTCTAAATGGAACTTTTTAGCTCCACAATACTGACAATTTGAAGCATCAGGAAGAATCAAGGAACGGTCGGGAATTCTTTCTAAACGACAGAGAATAGTTTTCCTAGATTTTCACTGCTAACCTGGAACAAAATTCATGTGTTGTTTTTTTGTTCCATGGATTTTTTTTGATAAGAACTAAATCTGAAAAAGCAACGCTAAAGATTTAACTGGACACAATTAAAAGGCAACCTGAGCTGTAAGTTTTTCTGGATACTGAAGCACGTTTGACAGTCCTAAAGGAAGTTCCATTTCCTGTGAGTGAAAATGAGCAAACTATTTGTAAAAAGGGTAACAAGAAAGAGAGAAGTTGTTGTGTAAAAGGAGATGAAAAAGAACAAAATCAAGAGTTTTGTAGTGATAAAGAAGGAGTAATATGAATCAGGATCACAAAGGAAAAATAGGTAGCTAGATTATAGGAGCTGTTTAAAAGGCCAAATCAAAAGAGAAAGAAGAAGTTTCACAGATTCCTCGGAAGCAGTTATATTTGTAGCAAAAAAATAGGAAAAATGATCAGCATAGTCTACAAAAGCTCAATGTGGAAGACTAAATATAAGGTCTACCTTGCTGACCATTAGATGGAATGGAATTTGCAATAACAGAAGAGGAAGCATGCTTTTCATTTCCCAACGAAGCAACTGCAGAGCCCAGCAAGTATGGTAATCCATCACTGCTTAACACAGTTTCTGATTGAACAACAAAATACGAAGCTGAATCTTCTAACTGATCACTAATCAGAAGATCAGCATTTTCATTAGAAGTAACATGCATAGAAGCATCAAGAGTACTAATGCCTACTCCTACAAGGATCTAACGGTGTGTTTTGAGTGTAATCTACACGTTTTCTCTTAGAAGCGGCAAATTTTGACACACAATCAGAGGCAGAAGGGGACATATTTTTTTTCTTTCCAGCATTAGCCTCCCTTCGACGGCGTAAAAGATCATCCCTTTTATCCTGTGGCATTTGTGTGTAACGACGTGCGCTAGCTTCTCTTTGACGACGTAAAAGTTCATCCTTCTTTTCTTGAGGCATCTCTGCATAGCGTTTCCATCGTTTCGCATTTTTATCCATGATATGATATAACACGAGACTTGCGCGAGAACTACATAAATGGCTCACAGATAATTCCAATCTCAAAGCAGGCACATTAGACGGGAAGTAAAAACACAAGAAGATAACGTGTCACATACATAAAATGGAGAATAAAGTAGATAATAATTGTTTGATCAAGGGAGAAGAACAGAGATGATGGACTATTAAAGATTATGTTTCAATTCCATAAAAAAAAATAAGTACCTTTTGCTGTAGCAAGAAAAATAAGTAGCAGACCGCAGCAAGCAAAACCTGGAGGAAATTAAGAGACCCAAGAAAAAATTGGTAATAGAAAAATGTCATTTTCAGATAGGAATATTAAAAAAAGAGTAGCAATAAATGTCACTAAACTGTAAAGAGTACATAAATAAAATGGAGAGAAAAGTAGCTAATAAGTTTTTGATCAAAGGAGAAGAACAAAGATGAATGAACTATTAAAGATAATGCTTCATTCCCAATTAAAAAAAGCAAGTACCTTTTGACGCAGAAAAAAAAACAGCAGCTCGTAGACAGCAAAAACCCAGAGGAAATTAAGAGGGCGATGCAAAAATGGATAATAGGAAAATGTCATTGTTAGATAGGAATAAATACAAAAAAAAAAGCAATAAATGCCACCAAACTACAAAGCGTAGATCAAGGGAGAAGAACAGAGATGAATGAACTATTAAAGATTATGTTCCAATTCCAATTAAAAAAAATAAGTACCTAGCCATGAAAAAATGGGTAATAGGAAAATGTCATTTTTAGATAGGAATATTAAAAAAAGAACAGCAATAAATGTCACTAAATTGCAAGGAGTATATATATAAATAAAATGGAGAGAAAAGTAGCTAATTGTTATGAAACAATTAAAAGTATGGATGTCCCTTTGTATTCCCAAGAGATTAATTCATGATTTATGACTACATTATGTATAGAAGTTACAATCTATAAATCTATTCATGTAGTGGAGAAACCGTTTCATAGGTTTCTTCATATTCTTGTAGTAGTGAGTGTTTAATAGAATTGATGTACCTTTAATCTTATAGTACCTATATATAGAGGTACATTGACACCCTTTGAGAGGACCTTTGATTTTGTTGAAATATAAGGATATTATTCTCCCTTTCTCTACTCCTTTCTCTAATACTTCTTCAATTCCTATTGTAGTATCTTCATTTTATTAGTTTTATAACACGTTATCAGCACGAAAGCTCTACTTTTGAGCAAAAAGGTGAAAACGGAGGCACTACTTTGAACAAAAGTGAAACACAAGATTTTGCCGAAATTCTGCTCGCATTTCTTCAAGTAAATTCTGAGGTAAATTTTTGACACATAAATTTATTTCAATTTCTTATGCCTAACATTTGAATGATTGAAAAATACAAGTACCTATTGCTGAGCAATCATTAAACACAAATATATACTGTTTGACATCTTTGAGATAATATTTCTCCTTTTAATTCTACTTATTTATCTTTAGAATTATTTGTTATAAATACTTATATTCTGATGCATTGAGTTTTGGAGATGCTATTATAGAAAATCAATTATATTTGAGGATTCATTTGTCTTTTGAAATACTTAAAGAAAAAGATTCGACCACCTGAAGATGGTCGTTTTTTTAACAAAAATATTTGGCCACTAGAAGATGGTCATTATTTCAAAAGCTTGGTATGATAAATTTACCTATGGCTACAAGAACATAATTCTGCAATTTTCAGAACTACTTCTCAGTTGAAATTGTGTCGAAAAAGTTTTACTCATAAGATATATTGAAAATGATATTCTCTACAATTGATTTATCGAATATGCTCCTGTAGTAGTAATATTGAGAGAAAATTTGAGAAGTATTATATACTTATTGCATGATAGTTCTAGTTCATTCCCAGAAGTGAATGCAACTAAATTTCAATTTACTAGTTATGGTTGCTGCCACGACTATGATTTTGGTAAATATACATTTTATCATGACAAGAGAAAAAGTTACCACTTGAAGTGGGATAATAATGATAAGGACAAGAAAATAAAGGTCCTAAAGATAAATGTCCCGAAGTACATTTGACGAATCAAAATTATAATAGCATTTTCACATGGCAAATTTCTTTAAACGCCCTGAAGGTGTATGATGATTGATTTAATTTATGATAGTAATTGACTTTTCTTCCTGAAGAAGAAATGGATGTTAAATATTTGGGATCAAAGGATTATGATGATGATATTTGTCCCATAAGAATTATGGTGACAATGATGTGTCTCATTAACAAGTGCTACTATATACACTATATTCCAATGAGCGAGACAAACACAATAAGTGGTAGTGCTTAAGTGATTGAAAACTCCAGAAGAGCCAATGATATATTTCTCCCTATAGGAGAAAAGTTTATGATAAATGAAACACTACTTTTTACCATGTCTCGAAGAATTTATTGAATTTGAATATCCATCGAAATGGATATCAAATTGAGACACTAAATGAGATAATAATATAATTATGTTTAGAAACAAATGAGATAAAGGTTAATTATATCATAATAACCATTCGAGAGAGAAATGGTTATCGATATAGTTGTTTTCATTCTCATTTGATTTATAATTATCACCTGTAGTAAACCAGAAGTTTACTGATCCCAATGAATATATGATTTAACAAAAGTGAGAATATTTGAGAGCCGACAAGTATTTATACACAGCCTCTTTATATTATATATGGCTCCAAAAGAAATTTAAAATTTATGTCGGATATGAATCACCTTTTACGATTAAATATCGTAAAATATTGATGGGTGATCTATTGAATGATTTATTTATTCTGATGAGTTACGATTCCTGACATTAGGGGGGAGGAAAAGATCAACCGAAAGAAAATCATTTTAAAAAATTGAATTTTCTCGATCCTCATACAAAATAATGTGAACTAAAAGTTCAAAAAATTATTCATTTGCAGAAAACTGCAAACCAATTGTCAGATATATTATCGACTCCAGAAGAGTCATTAAATCAACTATTTCTGCAGAAAATACTCTGGTTAAAATTAATGTCCCCGAAGGACATGCACAAGTGCTACAAATAAATTTAAGCCCGGCCTACCTAAATAAGGTATAAATTGATTTCAAATATCTCTGGAAATTAAATAAATGTCATGACAAAATTCAACCTCTTGAAGAGGTCACTCCTGAAGAGCCAACTCCTGAAGAGAATGAAATCATAGAAAATTTAATTGGAGCCTAATGAAATGTAGCACTTGATATTATAGAAGTTGATGAGAATCATGAATCTATATTGGTTGATGGATGTCGGTATAGAAATAATTGTTCAAAGTGGAAAGATACGATCCAATCTGAATTGGATTTATTGGTTAAAAGAAAAGTTTTTGGACTTATAGTCCAAACACCTGAAGGTGTAAAGCAAGTAGCCCAAGAATTTTTACAAATATTTGGATACCAGTGATCCAATATGTCTATGTGTTTTTATCAAGAAAAATGGATCAAATTTTGTGATAATTGTTATATATGTTGATGATCTAAATTTGATTGGAACTCCTGAAGAGATTCAAAATATTATTGAATATTTGAAGATAGAATTTAAGATCAAAAATTTTGGAAAGACAAAATTCTGTCTTGGTTTACAAATTGAGCATTTGAAAAGTGAAATTTTTATCCACCAAACTGCATATACCCGGAAGGTATTAAAGCGGTTTTATATGGATAAGGCACATATATTAAGTACTCCAATGGTCGTTAGATCATTAGATCCTAAAAAGGATCCTTTTAGATCGTAAGAGGAAGATGAAGAGATACTTGGTCCTGAAGTACCATATCTCAGTGCAATTGGCGAAGAATATAGGAATGCGACGATTAAAAGATCTCAAATAATGTTTGCATCAGGGGGAGAATTAATACACAAGAATAGTGTACTCTTTTTCCTTCACTAGGGTTTTTGTCCCGATAGATTTTTTCCTGGTAAGGTTTTAACGAGGCATATTCTTTGTGTAATGGACATCCAAGGGGGAGTGTTATGAAACAATTAAAAGTATGGATGTCCCTTTGTATTCCCAAGATATTAATTCATGATTTATGGCTACATTATGTATAGAAGTTACAATCCATAAATTTATTCATGTAGTGGAGAAACCGTTTCATAGGTTTCTTCATATTCTTGTAGTAGTGGGTGTTTAATAGAATTGATGTACCTTTAATCTTGTAGTACCTATATATAGAGGTACATTGATATCCTTTGAAAGTACTTTTGTATCTTGTTAAAATATAAGGATATCATTCTCCCTTTCTCTACTCCTTTCTCTAATACTTCTTCAATTCCTATTGTAGTATGTTCATGATAGGATGCATTTTAGTAGGTATTTTGGGCATTATTGCACAATTAATTGACTAAATATTCTCCTTAATTGGGTGGATTCTACTGATATTTTATTTTGGGCGCTAATTGCAGGAATGGATGCTGAAAAGTGCTTAAATTCAACTTTTAGAAGATTCATCGCACGTGGGACCCGCTTGAGAGATGAAGAAATCTAATTGTAATAGATTTTATTTTAATTTTATTTTTATTGGAGGTAGTCTTGTTTTAATTGTGGGAAAAAATCCCTTCCCGAAAAGGTCGGACACAAACGGAGGGAAGTATTTAGACTTCCGTAGGGAGGCTTAGGTTAATTATTCCCTTCTTACGTTTTGCTTTGGGGAGGGTGTCTTTGAAAAAAAGAAAACCCTCTGCCCAGCCGCAGCTTTGTGAGGAGAAAGGCAATTGGCCTTTTTGTTGACTTTGGGGTTGCCATTGGATTTTCTTTCGTTATTCTAAACCATTGGAGAAATCAAACAATCTAAATTGAATCTCTCGTATGTATTGCTGGAAAAGAAAGGAAAGAGCCACTGTTGTTGACTTTTCATTGCTTTCCATCCTCTGTTGACTTGAGCAATTGGCTATTCTCCATTGACTCAATTAAATTGAAGAAACCAAGCAAAGCAATCTCTCATACGTTTGTGAGG